ATAATGAATAGGCCTTTTAAGGCAATTTTGTAATAAAGGTTTTATACCTTTTTAGGAATGGGCCTCCTAGGAAAAGGAGCCCAAATGATTGTAAAACCTACCTTTCCCATCAGGCTATATATATGCCTTAAGGGAAAGGCTAGGTTAAGCTTTTCGAAATATCCCTAGTGCCGCAGTGCCTATTTGCGTGTAAGGTTTTTACGCTAACATTCATATCATTCTGTAAAACCTTCACCATCAATGGAAAGCTTCATTCCCAGATCTATCTTCCATACATACATTTTATAGACTAGAAAACAGGGACCTAACAGTTCCTAATAGCGTATCCAATACTATAATATACACGATGCATATGCGAAGTGAGCAAGATAAACACAAAGAATACATTCATGACATTTCTTACTGCTTCTTTTCATAGTCTTATTAGTTTTTGAAAAAAAAAATTCAACAATATCAAGCACAATGTTATTGACAGTTCAAATAAGGATAGAGACACGCTCTACCTAATTTACCAAGCTAGCTATGAAAGTATATATGATAAGAATATATTATAAAAATCGTGTCATTAAAATCATGTCAAATAAGGATAGAGACGCTCTAAGTGATTGACCAAGCTAGTTGTGAAAGTATATATGGTAAGAGTATATTATTACAATTTGTCAATATTTTAAAAGTATTAATTACTACTTCAGAATTAAGGGAAAATAAGAGAGCAATAACGTTTGTTATATGACTTATATCCTTATGTTATTACATAAATAAGTTACGAAGAAGCAATAATTGTGGTATTCTTAATCAGTTGATTTAAATTAGAATTTGACATCGATCACATGTACAAAATTGAGAGCAAACTAATTTCTGTGGATGGAAATTAACTAATTAAACATAGTATGCACGCACATAAGTTAATTCAGTATGAAAATACATTAACGATTCTACCGAGAGTATCTCCTATTTAATGCAAAGTAATTACCATTTCTATATATTTTATGGTGGTAAAATTAGAGCCAAAAGTTGTAGCAATTTGCTACTTTATACGTAGTATAAAGATCAGGATTACTGATACTTCAAATTAATATTAGAAGAACGTTAATAATTGGGATTATCCATGTGCATCTTTCCTTCAATTTAAAGTTCGCGAAAGTCATAGGAATAATTCATATACTTTAACTGATTCTACATGAATAATCTATACATAAGTGTTCATAAGATATCCGACATAGGGATTGAGAATATTAAATAGGTATTAGTTTGAGTTAGTCCCAATGATCCTTTCGGTTTATCGGTCTTATCAGGCAATATTCCCTAAATGTTTCAGATCAAATCAGAAACATTTAGATCAAATAAGAAAAATAAAGACATAATTTATCAATTTTATTATTATTATTTTTAATATTATTATTAATATTATTAATATTATTATTATTATGGAGCATTATTATAATTATCATTATAATTATTATTATTATTATTATTATTATTATTATTATTATTTTCATCATCATCATCATCATCATCAATATTATTATTATTTATTTTATTTTATTAGAAATCTTTTTACATTTATTAAGAAAAATATAGATGCCGTATATAAATAAAATCTCAAAATGGAAGTTAAGTTATACCACATGCGTCATTATAGCTAGCTTTAAAAAACAATCTACCTTTAATGATTAGAATAATACTCCGTAGATACTACGTATCATTATTAGTGTTTAAATTACATGTTAGCCATTTAATTTGTTAGTTTAGAAATAAATGATGAGAATCTATAAATTATAAATGATTTCAATCAATATCGTAAATTTGGTAATGACAAATTTGGTACGTACGTGTAACTTTAGTGGTTTCTAGCTAGGCAATCCAATTTACATTTTTTGTCCTCTTTTTAGGTGGGAATTTTCCCTCTAATAATTGTGCAAAGACTGTTACTTTATATTATATAAAGATAAAGATATGATGGAGTATATTCCCAACTTATTCCAGTGAGAACGATGCTTAACGTGAAAACGTGAGAACACTCACATTTAAATCAATGTGGTGCACAATGGAGCTATTCTGTTGCACATTTTCAATTTGGTCGAAATAAGAGTATAATAAATAAACACGGTGGCATTTTTGTAAATACTGTTAAAATGTGAAAATGTGCAATATACAAGCTTCATTGTGCAACACGTTGGGGAAAAAGTGGTGTTCTCACGTTCTCACGTTAAGCAATGTTCTCATTTGATCTTTATTCTATATATATATATATATATATATATATATATATATATATATATATATATATATATATACTAGCGTGGGACGCGCGTTGCGCGACATTTAGGCCCAATGCTTGGTAAAGAGAGAAAACTGCACTTAATAAAAAAACTGCACAAATATATTGCGAAGTATCCAAAACGCAGTTCAATGTTGGTCTTTACAACCGCATGGTGAAGTAACATTGCAGTTTGAATGTTTGGGTAAAAAAGATGAAACAAAACATCTTACAAACATAGCTAGGACATAGTAGCATCAGTTAACATTGAAGTTTTAATGTTTGAGCAAAAAAGATGAAACAAAAACCAAATAGAAGCAGTGAAGGCACATCAGCAGTGTGGTGTTAATTCAAGAAGGGCAAGCAGCATCACTGCAGGCACCAGTACGTATTTCAGACGTATTGGGTTCGTTTGGCAGCTTCTCGACACCACATGAGGAAATGGTGAGTAGCAGTGCTCTACCACGACCATGCTTAAAGAAGTAAAGAGTGGAATGCCACTTGAGTTCGTAAATATATTCCGAAAGGGAAAAAAGGAAAACAATGGTTACATTAATGCAGCCAAAGAACCATTAAAGCCTGGGAAAAAAATTAGAAATTTCTAAGTTAAGGCCATGAGCTTCACGTGCATACCTCATACGACATCCTTTCTAGAAGCGGCGTAGCTAGAAGGATAAGGCTGTCCCGGTTCCTGAAAGGCCTGAAAGCTAATGCTGGAATCCCAGAACTTTTAAATACTTGAGGCAGTGAACGATCGAATCAATTGAAGTCTGGCGGTGCTCCCGTCCTACGCCTCCAACTTGAGAATTAAGTGCCAAAATTGAGTTTTGCATTTGACTTCATCATATCAATCGATATGGATATCAAAGAGACAACAAACATAGCTTTAAGAAGTATCGCCACAACAAGTTGAAAATAATTTGGCACAATAATTAAAAGTTATACCTATGAGATTGGTCTCTACAACCAAAAATCCCTCTAATCCCAATTTCTTAGGCAAAAGTTGACCACGTTCAAGACACTCGCGCAAATTGAGCTGCAAAACAGCAACAGTTAATTAGTCCAGAAGTTTAGTGTACATACATCTTACAGTTTGAAGCAGCAATGACTAATTTTGATGAAGTAGCTTTAAGCATGACAACAGCTAAATTCTAGTTCCCGAAGGAAGAGAAGGAAGATGCTCATCTCTTCCGCCCAACACCATAATATTCCTCCCTAAAAGAAAGTGTTCATAAACATTTTTATTAATTATAAGAATAAAGGAAAAATTTCCATCATTTGCAATGGAGCCAAAGATTCATTATTTTTTGGCTTGAGAATATGATGGAATAAAGCAAAATGGCTCACTGAACTGTCTGTGCTTCTTTGTTATGAAGCAGCAGTCAGTCCATGCAATTTTGGACGCGATTTTCACTACGGGTCATCCGGAAACAGTCTCTCTGTGCTTTAGTACAGGGGTAAGACTGCGTACATCCGACCCCCCTTACCTGGTGGGAGCCTTTGCGGCACTGGGGTAAATGAAAATGAAATGAAAATGATATAAGAATAAAGGAAAAGATTGCACTTTTATTAATTATAACTTAATTATATATTTAAATTCAGGTTGGAAATATTGTTAGGTGTGGACCAATTGTCCTCAGTGCCCCTTCTGTTCATACATATTCAGGAATCATAGGATTCAGTGTTTACAAAGGACAACATTTCCACCATGCAAAAAGGAGAGATATTAGATGTTGGGAGAACCTGCCACAGAAGTAAAAAATAGTGACGAACCTTTATCCAACACAAATCCCACTTACCCACATATAGAAAGCCGAGTCCACAACTTCAAAGCGTAGAAATATCCTACGCCCTGTATAAGTAGCATCAGTCTATGCTAGTTATCAGTCTCTTCAATCTGAATCAAAGCCCACATGTCATTAACTATGCGTAAGTAATAATTCAACACACAGACCGTATAATAGCAGAAACATTAGTCAAAACAAGTATTTATAAAGTCTTGATTGATAGCTTGATGAATCAATATTTCCTGTGGGTTCATACTCCGTATTAAATACTCAAAACTTCCATATCTAGTAAATATTAGGCATTTGGCATTTCAAAATGGGCAGGAAAGATTTAAGAAGAAAAACATTTCTGGAAAATAAAATACAAAACCAGAACCTTAGCAACATCTTTATTTCAACTACTGCTTCTGTCCATAGATACATTTCCTACTTTCCATCCACCACTTAGTAAAATATTTTTCCTTATTTGGTACAAAAGTAACTTTACTGCCCTATTGACATATTTTAGATCACCATTAATCACTCCCAACACCATGTCAAGTAAAAGGATGAATCTTATCAACTTATTAAGGATTAGATCTGACCTCATCCATTAACCCTTCTTAGATTCCTATTCCAAATATGGATAAGCAGACCTCTTTAATTAACCATTCTTAAACTCTCATTTCCACCTATGGATAAGCAGGGCTTGCTTTCAAATGATGGACTCACAGTGCCATATGGATAAGCAGAATTTGAGATGACACACATAATCTGTTATAAGAATGAAACCAAAACAAACCTGAAAAACTCATGGCAGAATCAATGGATATCCTTGTATATAGTTTACCCCTGGTGCCTGGTTGGTAAGGAGCTTAGATGATTTTAGCAAATGAGTAGGTGGCAGATTACATCACATGATGTTCCAATCATACAAATGAGGACAATTTTTCATAACCAAGGGTATCACCTCTAGCTGATTCCTCTTCATTCTTACACGGAAATAGGCCAACTAACCTTCTTAGAGTACAAGCATGGTGCTGAATTCAAACTTTAGCTAAATCATCCTTAAAGCATAAGCATAAGCCAAAAATATAATACGGAGTAATAAGTAAATGGAAAATGGAAACCAGCAGCTAGAACTATCTGACTATATCATAAGAATAGAAACTAACCTCCCTTGGAAGCATGGTGCTGAATTCAAACTTTAACCTTTCATCATCAACTTCTGCAACTCGTTTCCTGTGATAATCTATATACAACTCCCTGGAAACAAAAAACGCTAAACTTAATGATGCCACCCCCAAAATAGACTGAAGACAACCCCGAAGTAATGATAGACCATAACCTAGTTCAAGAATGAGTGACAAAAGCCGAGAAGGGCATTTGTTGTTCCATTCAGTCAGCGCGTTTTTCTTCTCCCCTGCATCACCAGGACTATGATATCGCCTAAAGTTCACCCCCCCCCCCCCCCCCAACTCAATTGAAGAACCAGATATGAGCCTAAACTATGAACTTCAAAGTAATCAGAGAGGGTGGGAGTGTGTTGGCACTGGCAATGCAACAGTCTTCTTAAGAAAAACGTCTCATTTGGCCACCAAGACTTTCTGATTTATTCTATTGAGCCTTCGACCTTCTATTTTTTTATCAGAAATATTTAGTTCTAGAGTCTAACACATTGCCACATTGGCCCCATGTGCTTTCTGGATCTATCACACAGAACCCCCCTCAAGGTTGTCTTAAGATTTGACCTGTGATGAAACACAAAGCTTTAAAGGATCTTGTCACACACAAACATCAACCAATTATTTGTACTGAAAGACAATGAATGAATGAATGAATGAAGGAAGGAAGGAAGGAATGATCTGCACGTGACAAAAGTAAATGGATTTCTGAAGGCTTTATACGGGCAAGACCCTATAACCAATAAAAGGGGATATTACCCTAACTGCTGTAGAAGAAGTAACTAAAATGACAGATGAAAGAAATGTGATGTCAGAAGAACTGAAGAGAATATTTTATCAGGTTAGTCCTTTAACCTGATAATACTTTAAGCTAAGTGGGCTTCTAAAGCGACTAAGATGGTGCTGGAACTCTGAAAGTGATCATTTAGTTATGTTAATTTGTGCCTCTATGGACATCATTTTAGTGATATTTAGGAAAAACCTCTGTATAATTTATCAAAAAGACAAATAATACTTCACAAAAGATCTGTGAATACATCAAAAATTCCCCAGAGATGATAAAAGCACGGCATAGCAGGTTCAAATGTCAAGGCATGCCATTATCTGCTAGATAACTACCCAAGATTCTCAAAACTTTAGCAAATTCCTGGGATAGGTGCTTGATGTGCACTTTGTCGTGAGGTGCACTCAAAGTAATAATACAATACGACACTAATACGTAGTATAGTGTAGTAAGGTTCGTATCCACAGGGAAAGGAATACTTTTCTTCTTACAAAAATAAATAAGTAACAATAAGGGGGGTTTATATTTGGTTGATGAACTTTAAATTATATTTAAATATGAAGATGAACGAGTTATGTGGTTTAATTAATGAGAAGAAGACTTGGCTTTGCTTTTATCCACTTAATGAAATGTTCGTCGATTCCGGTTATATCTTTAACTATCTTTCTCTCGAATACTCAATCGAGGAGTATATCCAATTCATCGAGGGTAGTTATTAATAACGAGACGCGTTCATTAATAAAACTTACTACCGAGTTAATATAGAACACGCGCCGTATATTCACTCGATAGTAGCAATAAAATCAAGATGAAAACGATTGAGATTGATAACCTCAACACAAGCGGTTTATTGGTTTAATCAATATAATTAATTCCCCTTGGTTTATTAACCATGAAACGCATGCATTAATAACCCAAGTTTACTACCGCGAAAGGACCGAATTAATAACAAGCGTATTAATCGACCGATTCTAGTAATAATTAATATATGAAACAAAACTAGTTGATCCTTTAAGTAATGTTCAAAATATTAATATGAAATATGAATAGGAATTAATTAATACTCAAGGAACAATATTAAAGAAGATGAATCCTACTATAGTTAATATCAAGATGTTAACTAATTGTCATCTTAGTAACACTCCCCGATATTAACGTAGAGGAAGAAATAACTATAACTATAACTAATGTCAAGATGTTAACTAATTGTCATCTTAGTAACACTCCCCAACATTGGTATAGAAATAGTATTTAAAGAAAGAATTAATATCAAGGAAGAAGATTAAAGATAATAACTCACAACTTACAAATTCATTAAGCTTCAAAGTAGCAAAACCAAGATGGAAGAGTTTAGCTCCTCATTTGGAGACTAAACATGATAGAAAATATAAAGAAAACACTAATCTAAACTGAGCTAAAGAGTATATGTGAATTGGTGATTTTATTGTGAAGGAAAGGGGTGTATTTATAGGCTTTTGGGAGCTGCAGGGTCTGATACCCGATCGGGTATATAGGATACCCGATCGGGTATCTTAGGAAATTGCCCAGAAAGTCACTTTTCTGGGCATACCCGATCGGGTATGTCGGCATACCCGATCGGGTATGTGACAAATCTTCATGAAAATTTGCTCCCACGATCATTTGTTCCCGGATTTGATTTGGACAATCGAATCAAGTGAATACCCGATCGGGTATAGGCAATACCCGACCGGGTACATGAGTATTTTTTCCAAATCGAAATCTTTCTTGTCTCCTTGCACTTTCCTTGATCTTTTAAGGTCCAATCTTGATCCCTTCGATGATCTTTGACCTGTTTAGCTCAGAATAATCCTAATCTAAACAAATTACAAATAAAAATGAAAATAAAATATTACACCAAAAGTGTGTAATTTCCACGACTACAACTAATAAAAACTAGTTAAAAATACAAATATACAATCGGAAATTACATGAATATCAGTGCTGTCAATTATCTGTTAGTCTTAAAACAAAACTCAAGTGCGACTAAAACGAGAGGAGGTTTTTATATAGCAGAACCTTTAGGTTGCCTAAAGCATTTTGGGCCCTTTCCTCGGCCATAGATGCTTCAAAATCTACATAAAAAAGAAAGGGAAACTATCTGCATCAGCGTTGAAAGGAATATCAGCAAAAATTGGCATTGAACCATAAATTGATAATCTAGTTTATCTACACAATCTACACTTAAAAAGTAAAAGAAAGTTGCCAATGGATGTACTTAGGGAAACCATCAGTGTTACTGTCAATTATTTGCAAACCCATCTTCTGCAAGGAGTGCAATGGACGACTTTCAATCTGGAACAGAAAGTAAATCAGTGACAGCAGTGATTATGTCTACAAATCCACGAACATACCTTGTTCTTCCAAATCTTTCAAATTACCTAAATTGAAAGAAAAACAAAAAATAAGATCAAAGCCCACATTAATAAATGAAAAAGAAAATAAGATCACCGGTAAGACTTCACTTTCCACATCTCCAAGACCACACAAATAGACTCTCCTTTGCATATTTTTTTAAAGCGGTGTCCCCAAACAAAACCACTAATATAAATTCAAATTATACTTGATTTAGGCTTACCTTGCAGAAAATCAGAATTATAGGTAGTTACGAGTAGTTTGAAGTCTGCAATTCGTATAAGTCCAGAGATGCTCGTGTCCCTGGACAAAACAGGACATACAAGCCCACAAAAGAGCACATCTTACGGAAAAAACGTAGCTTCAAGAGTGAATTACAAACACTCATACAACGAACAATGTATTTCATATTACATATTAAATCAATACAAAACCAAGTTAACCAAACTATACAATCAAACTTACTTTTGATTTACCTTCTCAAAAAACAGAACCATGGCGGGGTGGGCATCTGCAACCGCATCTATGGATATATGCCCAGTTGAGAAATCTTTAATTTTGAGATGGGGATTTGTTGAAACCCTTTATGCCTTTTCCTAAGGACCATCATATTCTTTACCACTCTCCTCTTCATGCCTTTTCCTAAGTTTTCCATATCCTGCAACCCTTTAATGTTTGTCATTCAACTTTTGTTCATCATCTCTTTTGTGTTCACTTTCATGTCTGTCACCATCCTTCCTGTTTTCTCTTCTACTTTGTCCATATCTTGAAAATCACTATCACCTCCCTGACACACATGCTGCAACAGCTTTTTTCCATCTTGATCACCATCCACATAATCTTGATTTGTTTGTGATTGTTATTACTTTGTATTTACTTTGTTATTACTTTATATTTATTATCTATATATATATATATATATATATATATATATATATATATATATATATATATATATAGATAATAAATATAAAGTAATAACAAAGTAAATACAAAGTAATAACAATCACAAACAAATCAATTAATTAACAAAAAACCTAAAACTTTTTTTTTTTTTTTTTTTTTTTTTTTTTTTTTTTCTCAATCAAGAAAATTTTATTAAAAAGAAATTTAAAGGAAAGTACAAGTAACAAAGATAAAAGAGAAAAACAAAGGGAAGGGAATTCAAGAAAAAGTAAAAAACTAAGTGAAGAAGACCAACCCTAATATAAATACAATATAAAATTAAATAAACTAACTACTTTTTTCAATGTTATCTTATTCATCTCATATGGGCATGCCTCTGTAATGCACTACTACCCATGACCCTAAGTGACAAGCCCCAATTATTTTCAATCCCAAATACCCCATATGGCCAATCGGCCATACCATAGGGAATAAAAGCCATTCTTAAATCTTAACTCTGTATACCGCAGGTCTGCGTAGGCAACATAGCCAATAAAGCCAATAAAATTCCCAATTATTAACAACTAATTTCAATTTCCAAATTTCAATTCATTACAAATTAGAGCTTTTATTTTCAATTCACTTAATTGGAGATGAAATCAAGACGCAAGAGATTAGAGAAAGACTCACAAAGTGCAGAGGCGGAGTCCGTCAATCGTCTTCCAAGTTCGCTGCAGAAACGAGGTTGCTGACTTGCTGCCTCGCGGGTCGCCGGTGAGTTCAGTCGCCAGTCTCCTTAAGTTATTCTTCACGCTTGGTCGTTTGGGGCCTTAGACGCTTCACGCCTTCACCGCCTTCAACCCTTCACGCTTGGTCCACAGTTTCGCGCAGAGAGAAGGAGAAGAAAACAAAGAAGCTTTACGTCTGGCTGGCCAGCAACGGAAGAAGAAAATATTCTTTAAGCCGAACAGTACTGGCCAAACGCTGGCCACACGTAATTACTAAACCGCGAACACCAAATGGAGAAGGCAACTGTCACTCGCATTTGTGCCGATCTACAGTAACCGTCATGCACTGTTTTAATGGAAGAGGACCATCTAACGGTCATTCGCACATTATATATATAGTAAGATATATACACACACACACTTATAGTAATACAGATAGGAAAGAAGTCTACTATGTAACAGTAAGGAGGAGTCCTTATATTTAGCAAATCCCAAGGGTGTAGTTTAACTAACGAGGTTGATAAGTTTAACAGATGCCAAATTGTAACTCATTTGAGATGATTTGCCTATGTTCTTCTTAAAGGAAGCATGATTTATATATGTATGTTTAATTTGTTGAGTGCTCATATTCCCGAGTGGTTATACCCTATACTTGTGGCTCATGAAGCTTGCTACAACATTTCTTAGAATAATTTAATAAGCAAAGAAGACATGTTTACTTGTTGGGAACTTCTTGGAATGAACAACTGTATGTGTAACAACTAAAAGTGAGCTACTTGTTATGAGCATGCAAATGCATTTCATTAAACTTGCCGGCTTACAGATTATTTATTACTTTGTTATGCACATTGTGCACCCTTATATAACAAATATAGCCATGTAAGTTTAAGGAATTGTGTGTTGACAATTTCAAATCACTCCTTTAACTTACTAGTTTGCATTGTATTTGCTAAATCAAAACTCTATTGATCTGGGCATTATATTACCTACAAATTCCTGTCATTTGGATGTGTGTTCAATATTCTTATTAGTTTTGTTTTAGGATTTTTTGTATTCATCACTTTATCTGTGTGAAAGCAAGTCTTTCCAAACTGACATACAAGTATATAATCACACAATAATACACAATAAGTATGATATTATGAATGATATATTAAAACTACACTTCAATGGAATTGTTGTATGATTTTCAGCTCACCTTTCTTTCCATTTCCATGTCTTTGTGTTCATCTATGTTACCAATACACTGGATATATACCATCTATTTTTTGGCATGAATGTATGGGGATGGTTTTTGATGAAGCTTTTTGATGATATATGATTAAGTTGTAACCTGAATAATCTGGTCAAAACGGAAGATGTAGATGTCTATTTTTTATTCAAGGCTGCTTTAATGCTTGCAGGTTTTGAAATCTACCTGCACCCAACATAACTACCAAGACCCAACTCAAGGTTATGCAAACTTTAAGATCCATCATCATATATTTGGAGAAACAGTAAATACTGAGTCAGTTGATAATGGCTAAAAATATGCATGAGCATGCAATTTTTTTAGCTATGAAGATGCAGAACCAAGATGCTTTTGAGATATTTCTTTCAATTTAAGTCTTGATTATACATGAAGATGATGATCACAAGACTAAGAGGATCAACAAGGAAAAAGAAGATAAAAGAGTCAAATTTGAAGAACTGCATGTTAAGATACATAAAAAGAAGAAACAAAGATGATTACAAAGCCGAATAATAGATCGAATTGTATATATATTGTGATACTTTTCTATTCTGTTTTGTTTCTCTTTGTTTCATTGTACATGTTTCTTATTGTTGAATCAGGTTTCTTATTGTTGCATAGTATTATTTATTGTTTCATCATATTGGTTATGGTTGTTTGTTTGTTTTATTTTTGTTGTTCCTTTAGGTTTCTGTTTATCTTTCCTACTTCTTTGGAATAAAAATCAACATATAGATATATTTTCAAACTCTTAAAATGATATATTTGGATTTATGAATATGAATAGTTACAAAGAATAATGAGAAACAATAAAAAAACAAAAATTTCAAAGTGATCAACAAAAAGAAACACAAAAAGCATCTGAAACAAAAAGCAACGTACAATAAAATGATAATTAGAATATCTATCTATTTATGAAGTGTTAAGTTACAAAATTCATATATTTTAATTATTTTCCATTTTTTTTTTCATTTTTCATTTTTGAGTTTTTCAATTTTACATGCTTTTTAAATTAATGATTTTTTATAAAACTTAAAAAACATTGTTTTGACTTTATTCTATTTTATTTTTTAAAAAATATTTTACTTTGTATGAATTCTGGTTAAAAGATGTACTCTTACATTAAACTCTCTAATATCTTTTCATATATTTTACAATAGTTTTAAACATTTCATCTTAATTAACATATTTTTTAAGATATTTTTATGTTTGAGATTGTTTTTAACAATGTTATTTTTTATTAAAATTTGTTTTCATATATTTTTGATAGTTTGTATACTTTGACATAGACAGTATATTGTGTATTTAAAAAAAACAATATGATAAAAAAACATATTTGGTGTCTTTTACAAATTTTCTCGCATTCCTAACTCTCTAATTTTTATTTCTAAATTTTCTATCGCTTTTAAACTTTTCAAAAAAAATTCAAATTTAAGTTTCTATTTTTCATTTTTCAAATTTAAGTCACTAGTATTGATTTAGACATTTTAAGCATTTGCTGAAATTTTTATTTCGGTTGTGATTTTTTCTTTTCTTTTTAAAATTTAATTTTAATTTTCATTATGATTTTCCCTATTAAAAATTGAATAGTTCCAGAAATTGCTATTAATTTATTGATGATGAATGAATTGCTTTCATTTTAGTAATACTATTATTGATCAATGGGTAGACTATTATTGAAAAGAAGAGCTTCGGTAGTCCAATTTTGAAAAAAAATTTGAAAGGTGAAAAAGATGATATTATTTCACTTTTCAGCTTGTTTGTGAAAATTTCCCAAAACCATAATGCTTGATTGCTTGTTAACCATTTATACGGTTAAATTGTGTACACTTTTTGTTTTTGCTCTTTACTCCAATCTCCAGGGGGTCTGGGATAGGGGGTCTGGAGTAATCAGGACTGAAATTCACTCCATTAAGTTTCGAACCCTTATATGCCTAGCGGGTTTCGAATTAAAGACCTCTCACTACACACGGTAACGTAACCTCACAACCCGCTGCGCTGGAATGCTTGGTCAAATTGTGTACACTTTTGTGTACACATCCTCCTAGTTGTTTGTGTATATAATGGGTTCATTTAAAAAACGTCGCAAACGAGTGTACACAAATGTAATTTTTTGTGTACACCAAGAAAACCTCTAATTGTTTACAATTACATAGTATGATAATACTTCATAGATAAACACAATTTACTTATTTAAGTACTCCTTCTGTCCCATTTTATCTATTTTACTTTCTTTTTTGGATTGTCTCAAAATAATGTCAATTTCTTTTTTGAAAAAATATGTGATCTACAAAATTTCACTTTATTAGATTCAAATTTCAATCGTAACTTTCACTTTTTAATCATTTTACTACTAGTAATACTTATATCATATCAAATTAATCAAAACAAGACATATAAAATGTGAAGAAAATAGTATGTAATTTGTACTCCGAATGTTAAAGTATATAAAATTAGGGGAGGATTTAAACATATGGAGTACATTGTTATTTATTAATAATTTAATACTGGATGACTATGGCTATATCAACTCCATGTATTTCTATTTCACAGGTAGATATACTATGGAGTATGTATTATTGTATTGATAAAGTGAATATTTGAATTGCTTGAAGAAAAAATAATAAGTCTTAGCTAGTTCATAACATAAAAAATAATAGATGATTTCCAAATTCATTCTTTCACTTCAATTTCTACCCCAATAACATGGATAGTATATAGTGTTTAATACTACGCATAATACAGAATTGTTTAATAATTAATTAAACAATGAGTGTCTCATTTGTGTTGCTTACTATGATGGGGTCTTTAGCTTTTTTTTGAAAGCTAACGAGGTTTTCATTAACAAATCAAGTCATTCTCAGCCAGAGTTAATATTTTCTCTGGTATATTTCTTACAAAGATTTGTTCAATCCCATTACTAGGAACTAATCTAGTTGTCAAATGAGCTACATCATTTTCCTTTCTTTTTACATGAGAAAATTTAATAACATCAAAACTAGAGCTAATATGGATTATATCATCAAGGAAAAGACCAAATGCAGCGTGATCCTCATTCCTCTTCTCTGCTGCAATGATGAAACTCAGAGAATCACTTTCCAAGAAAACATTTCGGAAGCCCATTTGAAATGCCTTTTTGCTCACCAGGACGTAAGCCTAACCGTACCAGCTTCTGAAAAACTCGACTTTGAGGTGAGCCCATAGAGATAAATAATTCATAAAAGCAAAAAACATCCTCACCGATACATTTTTCCAACTATAAGCCGAGACTTAAAAAAAGCGTATTGGGCCTGTTAATGACGTAGTACTAATTACTAATACTACTACTACGTATAAAACTAATGCACTTGTCCAGCTAATTCATAGTTTCATATCATGCATATCAGGGCTATCAGCAGCAATTTTCTCACACTTGAATCCATCACCAGCTCTCATTTTCTCATTAAAATGCACAAAACCAAGAACTGCCTATGTCATGATGTCATCAATCTAAGCATTTTTGCCAACCAATTCGTATGAAAGACGGCAGGACGGACATGAACGTTCAACTACCGCGCTTCAGATGTTTCAGAATGAATCTTTCGGCATACAAAAGATACTTATTTCGGACATATTCTCGGAGACACTTGTGGTATGAGAAATCTACCATACACCGTCTATTCTGACCACAAACAGGCACCTTGACCCTCTGAATTCGGGATGTTGATCAACCTAATACAGAAGATGTTTTTAGAAACAAAGCATAGTCTATAGTGAGGGGTTAATCAGTGATTTTAATTTAATCAGGTAGAAACCTATGGAGCACTAATTTAGTTTTTTACTAGCAGAATAGTGTGAAAACTACAGCTCAAGTGAAGGAAAGAAGAAAAAATTATGAGAAATTAAATTTCACTTTGAACTTAACTAATCTGAAATGATATAAAGAAATTAAATATGGAATGCTACTTAAGTACTAGTATATTGAAGTGAAAAGGCAACATTATCATCAAGTATGAAACAATACCATGATTGAGTCAAGGCCGAGCCAATTTTATCTTCACAATGAGGGTGATGAGAAAGAAGCCTCTCTAGTCTCTACCACTATTTTCTTATCTTCATCTGTAAGACACTGTCCATTTAAATACCTATTAATAGTGAAACAATCAATCCAGGTTTATAAATTGAAATCTAATCCAATTCTCAACGTAAATGGTGAATTTTGCTTATTCGTATCCTCTATGCTTTTTGTCTGTCTCCCACCAAAATAAACTATAGTTTTTTGTTGTTTTTTTAAGATTCTTATATGCAACAGTTGAATTCAGTCACCAACTCTCAGAATCCTTCAGTCCTCACTGCCTTAGACCATGCAGAAACTTCAGTCAATAGCAAATTAGCAATAATAAAATCAGTCAAATAGTTCTAGTAGTGATTCAAGCAGATGACAGCCGCACATCAGATTGGCATAAAAACAGAAGTGTGCTTACACTACTTTAGATCTAACTCGCTAGCATCAAATATTGCATACTGGAATTCCTTCATTATTACCTCATGAACCACATATATCTTTCCAGCTTCTCTTTCTCAAAAAACTCTGTTGTTGTACAAAGTATAACATAAACCTCAACGCGTTTCCCAGTCCTTCAACTTATTCCCCTTGGGCTTTGCAATAGGTGTGTTTACAGCAGCCATCATTGCATTATACTTTCCCCAAAGTGTATCATTGCAAGTCCACGGGATGTTCCAGTCAGTTGTGTCTTCATTGACTAGGTGTGTCCATTTTGTCCTTCCACTACGACCAAAGTCCTTAACCTGCATGACTTTGGGTAAGTGGAGAAAAGATTAGAACCGGAGACAAGAAGAAATTATTGTAATAGAAGAGAAATCTCCCATTTATAGAAACAGGGAGGGGATACAATTCTGTCCTAATGGGTCGAACTGGACCTCACTGACCAAGTTTCATATGGGTTGTTGTATTGAACCTCTGGAATAATAATAGACCGGGATCCTATACCCCCAACAATCATAAATGTTACTTTTATATAACATGCACGGTAATTATGAATTTTGAGCCAAACTAAAATTACTCATTTTGTTTTTGAAAAGTTGCCGTCGTCATTGAGACTATTAGCGATGCATCCCTTTTTACTGAACATCGATGGACGGTTGGAGTTTATGTCAAGTTTAAAAAAGGAGATTGATAATGATCCCATTGTCCAAGCTCCAGGAGGGCTGATTGATTTTCGACGCGACCGTCACGATTGATTCTGATTGGCGAGAAAAAATAAATCATAGCATACTATCTCCTCATACCCAGTATCGTGAGTACGAGGACCGCACTTGGGATTTGTTACGATTGTACCGTAATGCCTGGACACACAAATAACTAACTATTAAGTTCCAATTTTCAAATATTTATTTGATCATACCATGTACTTCGTATTACTTAATTGTATTTTTTTTAGAAAAAACATCTGTCAAGTCATGGCTATGAAGCAGTCGTGGACAACTTACTAAAATTGAATGCGCCATATATGAATCGTGTACTCAAGTTGTCCAGGACTACTTCTTAACCATGACTTGACAGATGTTTTTTTCTAAAAATAAATACAAATAAATAATACGAGATATATGGTATGATCGAATAAATACTTGAATATAGGAACTTAATAGTTACCAATTTATGTGTCCAGGCATTACGGTACAATCGTAACAAATCCCAAGTGCGGTCCTCATACTCACGATTGTACCGGGTACCGTAGTGCCTGTACAAACAAATTGGTAACTATTACGTTCCTATATTCAAGTATTTATTCGATCATACCATGTACTTTGTATTATTTATTTATATTTATTTTTAGCATGCCACATGTGTACCGTTTTCATTGTAACATTCGAGATGCTCTAATTGACTAGAAAGAAAATTTAAACATTAATTACTAGCAGGGCATTTATGTGGCAGTAGACAACAAAACACTTGTACACATGTTTACATAGCTAGAAGTTTGTTGAAATTAGGAAAATGGATTTTTACCCTAATTGGAATGAAACATAGCATTTTCCCCAAAATATGACCACTTAGTTTAAACATTCTTAAATAAGATTTTTTAGTGTGATTGGACCAAAATACCCCTACTGTTGCCCCTGGATTGTCTCCCCTGGACTGCTGCCAACTGCCTGCCTCCGACCATCTGCTGCCACCGCCGGAAAAGTTTCCAAATTTTTTTTCTAGACTTTTTCCTGCCGTCGCCGGAATCTGCTGCCACCGCAACCGGACTGTCTCGCTACCAACGGACTGCCTTACGGACTAACTTGGTTATGCAAGAAAATTAGGGGGGGGGCAATTGATTGGGTTAATTAATTGCCAAATGACGTGCACTTTGTCGTGAGTGCACTCAAAATAAATTCAACACTAGCACTTATACGTAGTATAGGTGAAGTAGAGTTCGTATCCACAGGGAAAGGAATAACTCTTCTTTTTATGTAACTAGTAGATAAAGGGGGGTTTTGATTGAGTGATTTAATTAAAATTGAACACGAAGATGAACGAGTTATGTGGTTTAATTTAAAGATAAAAGATACTTGGTATTGCTATTTTACACTTGTTGATATATTTTAGTCGATCATTGTTATATCTATAACTTATCTCCTCTCGAATACTCAATCGAGGAGTATATCCAATTCATCGAGGATAGTTATTAACAACGACCGTTCATTAATAACCCTTACTATTAGTCAAGTATAGAACAAGCGCCGTATACCGACTTGATAGTAGCATTTAATCGCTTAACTCCTTGATGAAATCAATTGAGATCGATAACCTCAACACAAGCGGTTTTGGTTTAACCAACACAATTAACTCCTCTTAAATCTATTAACCACAACCGTGCATTAATAGACCGAAGTTACTTACTTGTGAAACTATCAACGATTAACCATTGGTTCGTTGATCGTATCTAGTAGTAATTAATATATGAAACAAAACTAGTTGATCCTTTAAGTAATGTTCAAAATATTAATATGAAATATGAATAGGAATTAATTGATACTCAAGGAAGAATATTAAAGAAGATGAATCCTACTATAGTTAATATCAAGATGTTAACTAATTGTCATCTTAGTAACACTCCCCAATATTAACATAGAGGAAGAAATGACTATTACTATAACTAATGTCAAGATGTTAACTAATTGTCATCTTAGCAACACTCCCCAACATTGATATAGAAATAGCATTTGAAGAAAGAATTAATATTCAAGGAAAGAAGTTAAGAAAATAACTCACAACTTTAATAATCAACAAGCTTCAAGAGCAATACCAAGAAATGGAAGTTTAGCTCCTCATTTGGAGACTAAACATGCTAAAAGAAATATAAAGAAATGCTATTCTAAACTGAGCTTAAGAGTATAAAGGAATTGGTTCTCTAAAGTGAAGGAAAGGAGGTGTATTTATAGGCTTTTTGAGGTGCAGGCTCGGGTACTCGATCGAGTATATACAGATACTCGATCGAGTATGTGTAGAAATACCAGATTCGAGGTATACTCGATCGAGTATATGTTCATACTCGGTCGAGTATGTGCAGAAAGTGATATTCGAGCCATACTCGACCGATTTCGGGTTTAAACTCAAAGGCATACTCGATCGGGTATGTCGGTCTACCCGATCGAGTATAGACACTAAATCGTGGCCAAAATCTTCCCGGCATGTTCCTTTGTCCTCGGATCCGATCCGATTTGAAGTTTCAACCTTATACTCGATCGAGTATAGGTAATACTCGACCGAGTATAGACCAAAATCAGGATTTCCCTTTTTTCTTGTGATTTTGCACCTTCCTTCCACTTTTGGGGTTCACCAACTGTCCTTTGAGTGATGGTAGACCTGTTTGAGCTCAGAATGACCCTAATCTAAACAAATTACAAGAATTCAACAAACTAAACTATTACACCAAAAGTGTGTAATTTCCGAAATACTAAACAACCAAAACTAGCTAAAAACGTAAACATACATACGGAAATTACAAGTGTATCAACTCCCCCACACTTAGTTCTTTACTCGACCTCGAGTAAAACAGAAACATCCAACCGGTTTAAGAGTTTTCCAAAAGTTCAAGAAAGAAGGAAACTAAGACCACCAGGGGAAAAATGAGTTTTTACAACAACATTCTTTCTAGGGTTTAATGATCTTCTATGCTCCATCTTCTTGCCCTTTTTTTTTCTTCTTTTTCTTCTCTTCTTCCTCTTTTTCTCCAAAGAGATTAAATGAGTGCATGCAAAAACAAATATTACTCTCATATCTCTCATTTTGCCTAGGAGCCTTTTCAGGTTTTCATCCTAGCATCTCTTTTCATTTTCCATTCTCCCAACTCACTCATCATTTTTCACAAGCCTTTTTTTGCTTAGATTGCCCATTTTGTTGGGTTTTCAACCTAACTAGCATTTCTTTTCTTCATTTTTTTTTTGTTTTTTTTTTAGAGAAGTTCATGCGTAGTAAAAGGTAGAAAATAAGATTACATACCCATGATGAGTCTCCTCCCCCACACTTAGTTCAAGCACTGTCCCTAGTGCCCAATTTCGGCTTTTGTTGTTTGTGGAGTAGGGTGATTTTGATTTTTGGTGGGTTGTGGGTGTTTTGGTGGGGAAATGATGGAGATATGGTAGAGAGAAGGTAGAAAAATGGAGTTTTGGGGAGAAGGGGTCGAGGTTGGTATGGGTGTCTGGAGAAGATGAAGTGTTTTGGGGAGTGTTTTGGGGTTAAGTTGCAGATTTACCCGATCGGATACTCAACACAGGGGTTCGAGTATGAAGTTTTCCAGTAATACCCGATCGAATATGGCTTAATACTCGATCGGGCCTTCAAGACAGGGTCTGGTAGGTTGATTTTCCAGACATACTCGACCGAGTATATGTCCATACTCGATCGAGTGCTGGAAACAGGCTCTTTTTGGATTTGCCTTTCTGGACATACTCGACCGAGTATTACTGATACTCGATCGAGTATGCCTCCAATGTTTAAAATACTGACCATTTCGCTCGAGTATGGAACTCAGTTCTCCCTATTTTTACCCATACCCGACCGAGTATGGAAGATTACGCGATCGGGTATGTCCCCAGATACACTTTTTTTTTTTTTTTTTTTACACACGCACACATACTGAAATAAACTGAAAAGAAAACATACCTTGCTTGGGTTGCCTCCCAAGAAGCGCCTAATTTAACGTCGCGGCACGACGCCATCATTGTGTTCAATCGTTCAAGCTTGGATCGTGATACTTCATCTTCTTCAAATTTTCACCCGGGTGACTCTTATAGAAATACAATATTTTTCGACCCTCTATTTGGACAATCTTTCCGGGATCAAATATCCGGATTTGTATCGCTTCATATTGTGAGAGTGAGGGTCCATGATTTTCTCTAAGCATGGTCAATGGAAGGGGTTTTGATTCGGGTGGTATAAGAGGGAGTATGAAATATTTGTGCAACTCCACCGTTATTCCTTGCTTATTTGTGAACAAAGAGAAGTCTAAATTATATTCACAATTGCGGAAGATTTCATAGATATCTTTGTCCTTCTCCACCCTTTGTGTTTCATTTAGAGCCTCCGGAATTGGTGGCATGATCTCAGGAATGGCCGATGGTTGAGTTGAGTTTTGAGGTTCCTCCTCCAGTTGAGCTTTCTCCGTATTCTCCTCTTCTTCCTCCTCCTCGCTCATGTGGTTCACAATGCTTGGCATTTGTTGCGCTTGATTGTCCAAGTTCTGTTCGTTGGACATTGTTTCTTGCGGGCATTGTGACACATTTTGTTGCATATTTGTCACATTGATAGTGAGAGATCGGATCATGTCTTCAGTGGACATGCTAGAATAAGAACTTGAGTATGGGTTATATGTGTTGGAGAATGAATCATACCTCTCTTGGAAACCAACATCATTCCTTTGTTCAAAGTATTCTTTTTGAAGTTCTGGGCAAAAATCCGTAAGATGTCTGTGTGACATGCAAATGTTGCATGTATGGACATCTTGAGATTTTGAACATGAAATAAACTCCTTTATTAGAGAAGTTAAGACGGAAATTTGCCTCTCTAGGGATGATATGTTGGTATCCATATACTCATGTAAGCTCAGAAAATAGAAAAGTAAGATTTTGTTTTTTTTTTTGTTTTTTTTTTGTTTTTGATTTTTATGAGATAAAATAAAAAGAAAAATAATTGCCTTTCCCCGGCAACGGCGCCAAATTTGACGTGCACTTTGTCGTGAGTGCACTCAAAATAAATTCAACACTAGCACTTATACGTAGTATAGGTGAAGTAGAGTTCGTATCCACAGGGAAAGGAATAACTCTTCTTTTTATGTAACTAGTAGATAAAGGGGGGTTTTGATTGAGTGATTTAATTAAAATTGAACACGAAGATGAACGAGTTATGTGGTTTAATTTAAAGATAAAAGATACTTGGTATTGCTATTTTACACTTGTTGATATATTTTAGTCGATCATTGTTATATCTATAACTTATCTCCTCTCGAATACTCAATCGAGGAGTATATCCAATTCATCGAGGATAGTTATTAACAACGACCGTTCATTAATAACCCTTACTATTAGTCAAGTATAGAACAAGCGCCGTATACCGACTTGATAGTAGCATTTAATCGCTTAACTCCTTGATGAAATCAATTGAGATCGATAACCTCAACACAAGCGGTTTTGGTTTAACCAACACAATTAACTCCTCTTAAATCTATTAACCACAACCGTGCATTAATAGACCGAAGTTACTTACTTGTGAAACTATCAACGATTAACCATTGGTTCGTTGATCGTATCTAGTAGTAATTAATATATGAAACAAAACTAGTTGATCCTTTAAGTAATGTTCAAAATATTAATATGAAATATGAATAGGAATTAATTGATACTCAAGGAAGAATATTAAAGAAGATGAATCCTACTATAGTTAATATCAAGATGTTAACTAATTGTCATCTTAGTAACACTCCCCAATATTAACATAGAGGAAGAAATGACTATTACTATAACTAATGTCAAGATGTTAACTAATTGTCATCTTAGCAACACTCCCCAACATTGATATAGAAATAGCATTTGAAGAAAGAATTAATATTCAAGGAAAGAAGTTAAGAAAATAACTCACAACTTTAATAATCAACAAGCTTCAAGAGCAATACCAAGAAATGGAAGTTTAGCTCCTCATTTGGAGACTAAACATGCTAAAAGAAATATAAAGAAATGCTATTCTAAACTGAGCTTAAGAGTATAAAGGAATTGGTTCTCTAAAGTGAAGGAAAGGAGGTGTATTTATAGGCTTTTTGAGGTGCAGGCTCGGGTACTCGATCGAGTATATACAGATACTCGATCGAGTATGTGTAGAAATACCAGATTCGAGGTATACTCGATCGAGTATATGTTCATACTCGGTCGAGTATGTGCAGAAAGTGATATTCGAGCCATACTCGACCGATTTCGGGTTTAAACTCAAAGGCATACTCGATCGGGTATGTCGGTCTACCCGATCGAGTATAGACACTAAATCGTGGCCAAAATCTTCCCGGCATGTTCCTTTGTCCTCGGATCCGATCCGATTTGAAGTTTCAACCTTATACTCGATCGAGTATAGGTAATACTCGACCGAGTATAGACCAAAATCAGGATTTCCCTTTTTTCTTGTGATTTTGCACCTTCCTTCCACTTTTGGGGTTCACCAACTGTCCTTTGAGTGATGGTAGACCTGTTTGAGCTCAGAATGACCCTAATCTAAACAAATTACAAGAATTCAACAAACTAAACTATTACACCAAAAGTGTGTAATTTCCGAAATACTAAACAACCAAAACTAGCTAAAAACGTAAACATACATACGGAAATTACAAGTGTATCACCAGAGTTCGCCGGCGCCGACCGGCTGCCGGAGTTCTGCCGCCACCGACGGACTGTCTTGGTTGTGCAAGGAAATTATGGGAGCAATTATTTAGATCAATCAATTAATTAAATAGAATTAGGGGTAAAAAAGATAAGATTACTCCTATTTAGGGAAAAACATGCATGTGATCTTATTTTGGGAAAAAGGTTGAGTTTTAGTCCTATGTTGGACAATTTTCTCTTAGGAAAATTATTTTAATTTTCGCACGGCACATCCTCGTATCTTTTTTCTTAAATTACATATGTGTTGAGTTTGCCCAAAAATTTACATACGCCCTTTTAAGTTGGTTTCTAAATCACACAAAAATTACATAGGGATTAATGTATTATATGATGATATTAAAATACTCCCTCTGGTTTTTTAATAAACTTCACACTTTCCTTTTTGGGATGGTCTAAAATAAACTTCACACTTCCTTATTTCCTTTTTTGGCAAAGAAATCTACATCAAAACAGTGCCAAACAGTGTCTCAACAGTGCCAAACAGTGTCTCTACAGTGCCAAACAGTGTACTCTACAGTAAAGTCAAATTTCTTTCCTTATTTTGTGTGAAGTCAAACTGTGAAGATTAAAAAAACCGGAGGTAGTATATTTTAAAATTAAATTAATACGTAGTATAAACTTACAACGGTGAAGCTGTCTGCAAACCGTAGTAATGACACGAGACTCATGATGCCCGGATGGCAGACACGTCGGGTAGTGACTCGTCATGCATGTTCTGGTCCTTATAATGATCTTGCATCATGCTATTTATCTACATTGCACAGGCCCGGCCCGGCCCAGGTGCAACTGGTGCACCTGCACAGGGCCTCTAATCCTAAGAGGGCCTCCATTTTTTAATAATATTATTACTAGGCCCAATCCGGTCAGTTTTATGAAGCGTGTTTGCTACTCTGTTTGGCCCAATCCGGGTTAGGTCCGGAAAAGATTAAAAACCCAGTCATAAATCGGAAAACAGTTGCACCCAAGAATCGATCCTTAAGACCTCTTAAGATTATAACTGCGCCTCTACCATCAGACTAAGCACAACTGTTTGCCTATTGTTCTCTTTAAGCATCCTAATACCTTTTGTAATAAATTGTTTGGGTCAAACTAATTTTGCTAGTTCTTGCTCTCTAATTATTAATCAAAATAAAAATGATAACATATATTATATCTATTACGGAGTACTATAATTTATAAGTACAAATACTAATACTCTATAACATTTACTAATACTCTATAACATATCAAGACATTATTGGAGATTTTATTTCAAAAAGTTTTAGAAAGAAAGCATTGTTTAAATAAGTGTAGTTGAAGTTAAAAATTTTGAATGTAATTTTGATAGTCTTGGTGTTTACTTCATCAAGTAGATCAGAATTGCATTTTAAAAATTTTGATTTTTTATTGTATTATTAACATTATTTTTTGTAATAAATACTAGGGCCTCTAATATTTTTTTGAACAGGGCCTTCAATTTTTTAGGGCCGGCCCTGACATTGCACCAGTGATTTTGAATCACCACAATGTTTTTCCCGTGGCTGAGCATTCCATGGGCCCTACTTTCTCATGAATCTAATTCACGTCTTCGAGAAAAAATGTGAAAATTTAAACGTGAAAATTTAAGGTAGATTCTATGGTACCCATAAGGTACCATACCTTTGTCCACATGGACCAATGAGAATGTAGCAGTTGAATTATTTAAATCTAAATTAAAAAAGATAAAGTGATGTGATCTAATCAAATAGTAGGTACGGTACCCCGTTTTTTAAAAAGGTACTAGAGTTTTCACCAAAATTTAAATACTATAAAAACATCACAGGCTCATATCTCTTCTCCTGACACAATCAATACTTTGTGTGGACTAATTTTTACCACAAATGTATTTTCCATGCACAAAATGCTTATGGAGGTAGAAGTTTGTTTCCTCGGTAGTACTAACTAGATTCTCACCCGTGCGATGCGCGGAGCAAAAAATCATATCATATTATTTGTAAAATAATGTCAATGTACGATAGTTTTGCAACAAATATATTGCACAAATGTACTAAAAGAAACAAAGGATAATGAATAAAGTAAAACGGGATTCAAGCGATTCAAACATTACCTAATATGATATGGGACGGACGAAAAAAGTAAAACGGAACAAATTTAAGGAGACGGAGGGAGTATAATAGTATCTTCAATAAGGACAGTTTACGGCCACCAACCCATACTCCGTATCAATTAATTAATTCCTTTAATTCAATCCCCCACCTTCCGATCCCTTTCATTATTCGGCCAACGGCGACCAACAGCAAGCCACACTCTTCACGAGATCAATCATGGGACATAGACGGGGACCTTCCGACCAGCCGCACTCCCCAGCTCAGTACCTACGGTCTGGAACACAACATCAAAAACATTCCAAAAACCGTACCAACATCTCTAGCTATCACTAATACTACCGAGGTTGATCGAGATCAGCTTGAGAGAGTCACAACATACCGCTGCAAAACAGTCGGGGTTGGAAGCACAATATTGAAGGTGGTTCCAAAACTCGTGTCAGCACCAATGAAGGAGTCATTTCTGTACACTCGAGACATTTTGTGCGGCCTTCCCAACGTATTGAAGCCCATCTTGTTCACAGAGGGCGGCGATTTCGCATACTTCATGACTGAGAACTACGATGAAGTTCTAGGCACAAGCCACACAAACAAAAAGCTTTTGAGGTAATACTTTATAACACTAGCTACCTAATAAACTGATAATGTACATGAGAACCAACTTTATGTATAGAGTTGGAACACATTTCCTATCAATGTCATATGCATTTTGACCTAATGGAAACATCTGGCTTATGTTGACATCTCTTGTTTTCTTATGCAACTCTCTATTATAAAGTTGGTTCTCATGTACATTATCAGTTTATTAGCTAGCTAGTATTATAAAGTATTACCTCAAAAGCTTTTTGTTCGTGTGGCTTGTGCGTAGAACTTCATCGTAGTTCTCAGTCTTGAAGTATGCGAAATCGCCGTCCTCTGTGAACAAGATGGGCTTCAATACGTTGGGAAGGCCGCACAAAATGTCTCAAGTCAGAAAGGACTCCTTCATTGGTGCTGACACGAGTTTTGGAAACACCTTCAATATTGTGCTTCCAACCCCGACTGTTTTGCAGCGGTATGTTGTGACTCTCTCAAGCTGATCTCGGTCAACCTCGGTAGCATCAGTGATAGCTAGAGATGTTGATACGGTTTTTGGAATGTTTTTGATGTTGTGTTCCAAACCGTAGGTACCGAGTGCAGCTGTCCAGCTGGTCAGAAGGTCCCCGTCTATGTCCCATGACCGATCTCGTGAAGAGTGGGGCTTGATGCTGGTCACTAGATGATGGTCGGGAGGGGTCGCTTTTTGGAATGTCTTTGATATTGTATTCCAGACTGTAGGTACCGAACTGGAGGGTGAGGCTGTCCAACTGGTCGGAAGGTCCCCGTCTATGTCCCATAATCGATTTCGGGGAGTGTGGGGCTTGCTGCTGGTCGCTAGATGAAGGCCGGGAGGGGTCGCCGTTGGCCAAATAATGGAAGGGATCGGAAGGTGGGGGATTGAATTAAAGGAATTAATAATTAATTGATACGGACTACGGAGTATGGGTTGGTGGCTATTATTTACTCCCTCCGTCCCTTATAACTTTGCCAACTTTCCTTTTTTGGATGTCCCATTAATTTTGCCACTTTCTCATTTAAGTAAAGAATTTGTGGTTCCAGTTAATTCTCTCTCCTCTGCACAAACCTCAACCACACAGTTTTTACTTTATTAATCCTCGTGTCGGTCAAACTTGGCAAAGTTATTAGGGACGGAGGGAGTATATAGGATTATTAATACGTTATACGTAGATGCCTATATGCACCTGCTACACGCAATAGGCTGACTGGATTAATATGCATGACAGGGAATTACCTTTAAAGAGTGAAGGGCTGGGGATGGATAGTAGACATCTTTAATCGTTGATGAGAAATAGGTTTTTGAAAAGTTTTTCTCTTTTTCACCATCTTACACCTACGCCTTTTTGTGGAGTTTAAGGTTGACCATCCTTTTATATACGAGTATATAAAACGGATTAACTTCCAAAAATCATTTGACTACCTTCCCACGATTGAATTTTTAGCTTAAATTTGATATGAATAAACTAGACTTGATCAATTAAATTATTCCCTCCGGTTTTTATTAAACTTCACTCTTTGACTTCACACAAAATACGGAGAGAAATTTGTCTTTACTGTAGAAGACAGTGTTGAGGCACTGTTTGGCACTGTTGAGACACTGTTTGGCACTGTTTGATGTAGATTTCTTAGCCAAAAAGGGAAATAAAGAAGTCTGAAGTTTATTTTAGACCGTGCCAAAAAGAAAAGTGTGAAGTTTATTAAAAACCGGAGGGAGTATTTTTTATTAATAAGCTAAAAATATGATTTGCAAAAATAACTAAAATGATCACTTACAATAACTTCAACCAATACAATCTGAAATGTAACTATAACCTTACTTTTTCTTATTATTACACAACTCAGTAGGGCTGAGGCTTTGGAAGCAAGAACTGAAGAACCGAACCGTTATGACCCAGTTCGCTTCCAAATTTATTAGTTATTTCTTAATGTTAACGGCGCATATATGACATGAAAGATAGTCAACCAAAAAACAATAAATAAAATATCTTTCTCCTTATTTGAAGAATCTTATATCATTTTGATAAGTTTTTTTTCCACAATGTCAAGCACAATGTCTAGATGTAGACACTTTGCGTCCATATGAAAGCTAACTTCAAGAGCTACAAATCATATGAAGACATCTTTGCGAGAATCTGACCGTTATCAGATTCTTTAAACTTGACATAAACTCAAACCGTCCGTTGTCCAGGAAAAAGGGATGTTTCGCAAGTAGTCTCAATGACGGCAATCTATTAAAAAACAAAATGAATGATTTTAGTTTGGCTCAAAATTTGTAATTACCGTGCATGTTATATAAAAATTACATTTATGATCGTTGGGGTATTGGATCCCGGCCTATTATCATTCCAGAGGTTCAATACAACAGCCCATTTGGAGTTCGGTCAGTGAGGCCCAATTCAGCCCTTTAGGACAGAATTGTATCCTCTACCTTTTTATACATAGGAGTTTTCTCTTCTATTACAATCATTCCCTCTTGTCTCCAGTTCTAGTCTTCTTCTCCACTTCCCCCTAGCAAAGTTTGGGAGTTCCATTAATGGCGAATGATTTATGAGATCATTATTGGATGAGTGAGATTGTTTGATAAAATAATCTGGGTCTAAGACAAGAATCTTGATTATCTCAAGATTATTGGGATCTTGATATAAAAAAAAAATATGTGTTTAAGTAACATGAATGTGTAGGCAAGAGTTTCTCTCCCTAAGGTGTGCGCCGCTAGGGTTGCTTTTTCGATTTTCGATTTCCTTCGATCGAAGATCGGTCTGTTTTTCTTGCTTTGGCTTCCACATCGAGTCATCATGCGGCTGGCGGAAGTCTTGCAGCTCGGTTACGGCGAGTGCTCGGACGGTCTAGTACTTTGGTTCGGCTGCGGAGGAGTGAAGGGAAGGATTCGAACCAGGGGTTTGTAAATGGAAGATATTGTTAACAATTATAGGATGATGGCTATTGGGGAGGCAGATAATGAGCTCAATTTTGATGAAGAAGATGAAGGGGACGTGGACGAAACCGAAGAACAGATGGGGATCCTGGTGGTTGGTGCGGTGTTTTCTGACTTGAAGATTAATTTTCCAGCGCTCCAAGAGATGCTGGCTTCAATTTGGCGTCCCGGCAAAGCAATTTCAATTAAGGAAATTGGAGAAGAAAAGGTATCGTTTCACTTTTAATCATGTTTTGGATAGGAATCATGTATTGGAGGATGGACTTGGAATTGGTTGTTTGAAAGAGATTTAAATTTGTTGAAAGCGATTCAGCCAGATGATATTCCTGAAAAGCTGAATTTATTTGAGGCAGAATTTTGGGTACATGTGCACAATGTCCCTCAAAAATTTAGAAATCTGGGTTCTACTAAGAGAATTGAGAATTTTATTGGCTCCTTCATTAAGTTTGATAACAACCAATATGGGGGTAAATGAAATCATATATGAGAATTAGAGTCTGTATGGATGTTAGGAAACCCCTGAAGGAGGTAACTACTCAAATAATGTTTGAGTGGTTATGTATGTCAATTTTGAAAAGGATTTTTACACCGATGTAAATCTCTGTATTTAATCCCTGTTTTCCTGCATTTATTGGAAGAAAGAATACTATTCATAAATTTTATATATGAAAATATTATTTGTATAAATATATAAACAAGTAAATATAAATCATGTTTAGTTTTAAAACCAATTTGAAAATTTGCTTTCTAAATTATCTTTACAGTAAACCCTTAACTCCCACCTTTATTTAATTAATATCATTAATTATCGATGTATATTAAAAAAATCTTATTTACGCATGCTTATAATCGATAATCCTTTGGTTATATTCAAGAGAACTTAACCAAGGTCTGGATAAATAAGGCCTAATATCTGCTCAAATTATATAGTACTACGTATATGTTAAATTTTAAAAAAGATTTTTTTTTTGAAATTTGAATTGGTCTTATATTGCTAAATAGGATGACCACACTTTTTCCCCAAATCCAGGTTTAGTTATGACCTAATGTACTCTCTTATATAACATACTTGAGTCCTTTTCTTTTCCAGCCGGCCTGACGGGAACCGCCGTCCAGCCGAGGGCATTTCGTGCACTTCTCGATGGAATTTTTTGATGACATTTTTTTAGCATGTTCTTCATGAAGTCTAGTTTATCCATACCAAATTTCAGCCCAAAATTCGATTGGGAAAACATTCAAATAATTTTTTAAAGTTGACTGCGTCAAAGTATATATATAAAAACCCAGTCAACTTCAAAAAATTATTTGAATGCCTTCCCGATCGAATGTTGAGCTGAAATTTGGTATGGATAAACTACATTTGATAAAGAACATGCCCAAAAAAATTCATCAAAAAATTCTACCGGGAAGTGCCCGAAATGCCCTTGGCCGGACGGCAGTTCCCGTCAGGCCGGCTGGACATGAAAAGTCCTGTAACATACTTTATTTCTAATTGTTTATCTTCATTCTACATTTGGGCATAAATAATAAGTTAATTTTTTTTTTATAATTCGTAACATATTTAATAAGTTATCTAATATCAGTTGCATCTCATCAACCATGATTATCAATATTTTATATTAATATTGACCTAATATAGAAATATACACTGTTCCAGATCTATTATTTACCTTGACTCTTATTTTGAATACCATGGCTTAAATAAATGATAAGTTTTTTTTGAAT